CGGGGTGGGTCCTGGGTCTTCTCGCCCTGGAGGGGACGGGCAGGCGGAGGAGCAGCCATTCCGCTCACCCCGGTTTTGGGGATTGCCCCCAGGGATGGGGGGGGCCGCCTGGCCCCGCTGAGGTGCTAAGCGATGTTCTAGGTGGCACAACGACCCTGTGCACGTCAGCGGATGACGTTCTAGGTGGCTCACGTGCCCAGAGTCGTGGGTCGATGTTGTTCTAGCTCATGCTACGACAGTAGCTGATGTTCTGCGTCACACTTGTCCCTACAACCACTACGCAAACGTTCTAGATCATGCTATGCAAGTAAGTGACGTTCTAGATTATCCACGTCCCTACGGCCATTGCACCAATCACGTTCTAGGACATGCCGTGGCAGCAGGTGACGATCTAGGTGGCTCATGTGCCCACGGTCACCAGCTCAATCATGTTCTAGGTCACACTACGGCAGTGGGTGACGCTCTAGGTTGCCCACATCCCTACAGCCACTAGGTCAAGCGTGTTCTAGGTCACGCTACAGCTCTGCAGCCACTGAGGCACGGTCCGGGTGCCCCCGCGCCGCGGAGGCTCACCTGGTAGCTGAGCTCCTTGACGCGCCGCTCCGACTTGCGGAGGCCCTTGACGCTCTCGGCGTTGCGCTTCTGCTCGGCCTCCAGCTCGTTCTCCAGCTCCCGCACGCGGGCCTCCAGCTTCTGCAGCTGCTTCTTGCCGCCCTTGAGGGCCAGCTGCTCGGCCTCGTCCAGCCGCAGCTGCAGGTCCTTGATGGTCTGCTCCATGTTCTTCTTCATGCGCTCCAGGTGGGCGCTCGTGTCCTGCTCCTTCTTCAGCTCCTCCGCCATCATGGCCGCCTGCCCGTGGAGAGAGATGTTCTAGGTGACTCTAGAAAGATCCTCTAGAGAGCTGTTCTAGATGACTCAATGACCCAGATCCCCTCTGTCGGGCCTGGGGCGGCACTCACGTCCGTGATGGCTTTCTTGGCCTTCTCCTCGGCGTTCCGGCACTCCTGGATGGCCTCTTCCACCTCCGTCTGCAGCTGGGAGATGTCAACCTCCATCTTCTTCTTCTGGTTGATGAGGCTGGTGTTCTAGGGAAGAGGAATGCAGAAGTAATTGGGGTCCCTCCAGGCCAGGGATGGGAGCCATGTTGGAAGGTTCCAGGTGCTGGCCCATCTCCCACTTTTGTGGTTCTCCACAGGGGAAGGGAAGTTCTCAAGGACTTTCCAGATGGAGATCTGCTCTGGGCAGGGCCCAGCCCAGGGCGCATGAAGTGAAAGCAAAGATCTGGACTATCGGGGACCCGGGTTTGTTGGAGCAGCCCAGGGTCGTGCCATTCTCTAAGGCGACGTTCTAGGTGACGCAACAGCCGGGAGCGGGCCTTGGGCAGGACGGGCTCACCTGCGAGTGGAGGAGCTGGACCCGCTCGCTGGCCTCGATCCGCTCCTGCTCGGCCAACTTCCGGGGCCGCTGCGTCTGCTCCCCCCCA